ATACTTGTTTAATGTACCCCAGCCAAATTTCCCTAGTTCTTTCTTTTCATTGAAATCATGTGTCGCATTTTACATTATTCAAGAGAGGTGCAAAAGCTATGAACAGAAAAAAAAGCAATAAATGAAATCTCTGCCCAGAGTAAATCTTAGGAAGATGCTCAAAACCCATGATACTGCATAATGTAAGAAAGGACAGAAGGAAACTGTGCCAGGTTTTGAAGATTCTGTTCTTTTAACCTACAACAACAAAGTAGAGTTCCAACAGTGTTTGCAGTGTTTGTTTCTTGATCTAGCCCAAGTTGAAGGGATGACATCACCAGTGGTGGGTTTCCAATTTTTTTTACTACTGGTTCACTCGTGTGTGCACGCGCTTCTGCGCAGAAGTATCTGGGCAGGTGGGCAGAGCCTCCCACCACTGTTACTACTGGTTTGGCCAATCTGGACCGAACCAGGAGCAAACCACCCTTGGACATTACTCAATCTTTCAGAGCAACCTTTTGGGTCACAGGATATTTTCAGCCTTAACAGGCAGCTAGCCTCAGAAATAAATGTAGTCCCTAGTTAGTATTTGGCTGGGAGCTTCCTAGGAATTCCAGGGCTTTTAATCCAGAATGGGAAGTCAAATTAACAACCCCAAAAGCAATTATCAAGAATACTGCATTGATGTAGTCACCAGAAGTTAATGATAACCAGTCAACAGGCTTTAGCATTTCATTATTTGCGACTGAGATGCTATTTATTGTATTTGAGTCTACAAATATTGAAGTGTCCTGGGCAAAATAAATGCTATTTCTGCTGATACAAATATTGTTCCTTTAAAGTATTGCAACCCGAATATGTACAGACTATAGAAAGAAGTTGGGTGTTAAACTAAGTAAAGCTATTTCTTGAAATTGCAATAGCAATTATTTTTCTAAAAATACAAAAGAAAGAGAGTCTTTTCTGTCATAGCACCTGTCCTCTGGAATATCATATCATGAGGTGAGATTGGGTGCAACCTTCTCGCCTTACAGAAGGTCCTCAAAATTGGGGACACCAAGCAAAAATTGGTTATATTGTTAGAATGTATTCTCCTCTCATTTTATTAATGTATTTTAATGTATTTATAATTTTTAAAATTGTTTTAATGGTAGAAAACTATGTTTTAACTTGGATTTTAACATGTGTACCCTACCCAGGAATGCAAGTGAGATGGATGGCCATATATATTGAATAAATAAATAAATAGAGTTTCTTGTAATGAAACCTTATTTTTTATAATAACTAAAATATATGTATTATTTGAAAATAAAAAGCAAAAATGGACAGATAATAAAAATAGGTATATTAATGAATTATATCACACATTTCTATGGCAGATTAATTAACTCTACCTGACACATGGATTTTGATATAATTTAACTGAATTGTTATATATATTGGATTCCACATTTTCTCATCAGTCTACATTCACTGTTAACATCATGCTATCTTATTCCTAAATGTTTCCAAAAGCTTTGTATGTATGTATTTTATAGTGTGTTATATAAACACATAACCAGTTCTACTAATACAAACACTACAGTGCAGCATATTTGTGATTCGCACATCTTTATACTGACAACCTGGCAAAATAAAAATAACAGCAGAAATACTTTTGTTTCTCTCCATCCTTCCTGGACACTCTGTGTGTATGTACATTTCACTTCCATTTCAAGGAATGACTGAGGCTAAATTTAGATATGCAAAATGGTAAAAACCAGAACTACCAACACATCCAACCACTTCCAATTTGTAGATATAACAGAAGGGTTTAAATAAAGACGTATTCCCACCATCCCCTCTGCCCAAGGCCTATCTTATCTCCTCTAGGAGATTTACAATGTTGCATTCTTTTCTTGGTGCTGCAAAGATGCAGGCAAGGAGGCAGAAAGTAACGCTGCAGTTCATCCTTCTTGNGGGAATCAGTTTCGGCTACACAGAAGAACATGCCAAAATGTTGATCCTAATAAATGACTGGATTTCTTTTGAACTTTGTCTCGAGGCTCATAAATGAATTAGGTCATCTTTTGGAAACTTATCATTTATCAATTATTTGTCCCTGTAATATGATATCCAGCATTCAAATCCTTTGAACATGCAGGTACTCATAACTAATCATCATAAACTACAGTGTAGATATGTTATGACAACAACATGCAAATTCCCAGCTATGGGGTACCATTACATCTGAAAGACTCTAGGTTTGAAAAACTATCATAAAGCAATCTATGCTTAAATATATCATGTTATCAAATATTGCAACTTACAATTCTTGTTCTTTTTATTGCTATTTTGAGTTAGATATTACATAGTTAAAATACCTCTCTGTACTACTTTATTTGTTTGCTGTCCTTACCACCTAATAGTAAGGGGAAAAAACACCAGAGTAATCAAATGACACAGTGAATTATTAAGAATTTTTCATTAAAATTCAATACACATACACGTATGTGTGTTTGTTTAAAAAGATTACTAAAAATAAAAAATGATAATATGTAACACTAGTATCACATCTGTTAAAACCTAATTAATTTTCATGCTCTGACACAAAAACATCTAGATGGACAGCTCCGATAACTTGTTGCAGCAAACACAATATGGCCATTTTGTTCTTGTCCAATGCCATACTGCTACTGCATGAGACTGAATGTATTTACTCCCAACAAATACTTCCATGCAAGCATATACCAAACACAGCAGGCTTTATGTCCGAGGATCATGTACAAGGCTGCATTGTTAGAATCCTATTGTGACACCTTTAACATCAACAAAACCTTTGTAAAAAATGGTACTATTGACCCTAAAAGGATAAACATGACTGATAAACTGTAAAAACATGAGATTTAAAGTGTTATGCAAAATATGCCCCTTCAAAAATAATTCATAAATAATTCTGTACAGTATAGCATCTTCTTAAAATATATGCAAATATATTTTGACTTGCATAGAGGAACCTAAGCTGTTTATCTTCCAGACAAACACAATCTGGCCCAAGAGGACACAGTTTTCACATTTGGTGCTTATTTGGTGGGTATGTATTTGTTTTACAAATTGTATTATTGTATATATTGAATGTATTCTTAAAATAATTTCAAGCTAATTCATAATTTGGACTTCCTAGACCAAATATGTAAAATTGTCTGGTTCTTAATATGACAGATAACACCCCACCCCCATTAAATAGCTTTCTGCTAATCAAGTAAAAATAAATGTTAAATATTCAAGATATACAGGCAAAGTTCATAATATAATGAAGATAGTTTTTACTTGCATGTGAGAACACATGCATACCTAAAGTGTGACTTCACATGCTTTGTCATATCTTTGATGGGATCAAAATCATTGCCGAATTCCAGCATTTACTAAATGTTCCTCTCCCTGCTTAAGAAAAGTGTGACATCTGCAAGCAAGGTCTTGGATGCCATGAAACATTCCTCAAGTGTACCAAACCTGGAAACAACAACTTCCTAGTGCACATACTGCTTGGCACAAACATGCACATGTGCAACAATGAACATGTGACCGTCCTGAGGCAGGTTCAACTCCTCTTTCTGCCTCCCTCAGATGGCAGTCCTTTGCAGGAAGGAGATGAGTTGCAAGTGACCCCAAGCTCCAGCAGGCCAGAAGCAGACTCCACCCTTACCCTACATTACTGCTGCCCTTCCACCTCGCCAAGCCAGCCTCAGGTGGCCATGCCCTTTGGCTTCCCTGCAGCCCAATGAGGGTAATGCCACAGGTAGGGGTCCTTTCCAGCCCCTGGGTGGACACACTGACTCCCGGTTTTCTTCCAACTGCCATGGCTAGGTCCCCCCTGGAGGTCAGGACAGAGGTTCCCCGCCTCTGTATCGCTCCCAGCAGAAAGAGGGACTTGGGTGGGGGCGCCTTACCAGTCCGTCTGAGGCTCGTCGATGACCAGGAGCAGCTTGAACTTTTTGACTGCCGCTGAGGAAGACGGGGAGGCATCCACCAAGCCGGCTGAGGCTGCCGTCTGCTTCACGGCGTTGGAAAGGGAGCTGAAGAAGCTGCTGCCCACCGACTGTTGCTGCTGCTGCTGCTGCTGTGGTGGCGGCGTCTGAGACGGCTGAGGCACCGCCGGCTGCGACTGCTTGCGCTCCAAGGCCGGGGAAGAGGACGAAGGAGCTGCCGAAGAGGCAGGCGGAACCGCCGGAGGTGGAGGTTGTTGGGGCTCCGGCCGCTGCAGGTCGGTCATGTACCCATTGGGAAGGTTGGCGATGAAGCTGCTGTCCGAGAGCCTGCGCCGCAGAAAGTTCATCATTTGGCCGCCGAGCCGAGGGAGAAGTGGCCGCCGATGAGAGGTGAAAGGAGCGAAAAGGAAGGCTAGCTGGCGGCTTTTCCGCTTTGCCCGTCGCCTCACTGGGTGCCGGAGAAGGAGGGAGCAGGAGCGCTGCCGCTGCTACGTGCGGGAGCCGCCGCGGCTGCTGCTAATGCCGCCGCTTCCCCGCTTGTCCCGCCCTCCCGTCTCTAGGTGGCAGCCGCCCAAGCCGTCGCCGCCTTGCTTTGCCTTCCTTGCTTTGCTCTGAAGGCGGGCGGAGGGAAGCGGCGCCAAACCGCGCCCTTATCGCCAGCCCCGAAATCAACGGGGGTCCTCTTGAGAAGCCCGCGTTCAGCCGCCGACTCTCATCTCTCG